TGCAAGGCCTGGAGAGGTCACGTCCCCCTACAGGAAGCAGTCCCCGGCTCCCACCTGGCAGGAAGGCTGACACATCAGTGAGATTTTCAGATCTTCCTCAGCACACAGGGCTAGAGGAAAACTGCCACACCTGGCCCCAGAGTGGCTCCTGGTGACAGTGATGGTGGCGGAAGAATCCCTGGGCTGTCTGGAGCCTGGTTCTTAGTGCCTGGCCCTAGGGCTGCCCAAGCAGCGAGGGTGACCCTGACGCACACCAAGTGTCCGAACCGCTGGGGAAGTTCTCAAGCCTGCCAGAATTACCCGGGAAGTGCTGCTCTGTAATGAGCTTAATTTGGAAAATACACCCTTTAAGATAAACTCTACTTTTTAAATAGTTTTAGAATTACAGAAAGATTGGAGAGCTGGCTGAGTTCCTGTGCCCCCACCGGGCCTCTGTTTGCATCTTACCATCTTAGCCTGGCACCGTGGCCAAGGAGCAGGCATAGCAAACTTGTCGGTAGGAGCCACCTGCACTTCCTAGAGCCTCCACTCTGGAGCTGAGGCTGTCCCAGAACCCCGTCCAGTGTGCTGGGTACCGTGCGCGCAGGTGTCGCGTCCCCGTGAGCTTCCTGGCTCTGACGTTCTCACACTGTTCTTCTTGATGGCCTGAGGGGCTGGAGGAGGGCTGCCCAGGCGTCCATCGGGTGTCCCTCCACTGGGGTTTGTGTGATGGTTTTCTGGCCTGGTGTCCCTCTCGGTGTTGCGGGGGTGGTTTTGTTGTTTGAGTCTTGCTTCTGCTCTGGCACTGTGTCTGGGGTGCTTCCTGCTCTGGCCCTGGAGCCAGCCACTTCGCCAGGGTGCCCTGGGGGGGGTGGGGAGCCCAGCTTGGAGGCCCACTTGTGCCGTCGAGGTTGGGATGTCACTGGTTCTGGGCCCTCCACTGAGAGTGAGGGGGTGCAGTGTGGCCATACGCTCACGTACAGGTGGTTGTGTGCACGACCTCCCTTCCTGAGTTACTCTAGTTTGCTTGCGACATCTGCCACTCTCACCCAGTGCCCTGTGGATCATTCTGGCCTCCTGCTTTGCTTCTCTGTGAACTCCACCCTGGTGAAGACCTTGTTCCCCCATCTGCAGTTCATTAGCTGAACTGTCTGGTCGTCGTCTACCTGGACCAGTAGGATGGGAATCGTGAACCCTGGCCTCTGGCAGCGGCCGTATGGGTTGGAGTACGGGGCTCATCTGGAGGCTCATTTCCCCTTCGTCTTGTGGGCTCCACTCATTCCTCAGGCGGCCAGTGTCAGCACCTTGCTCCCCAGCCTCCAGCGAGGTGGTTTCACACATACACAGCACAGCTGGGTTCTCTGCCACGTTCTGCATTCTCTGCAGGATCCCGCAGCCTCCTAAGTGACATTGCAAATGTGTATGCTTGAAGTTTGCGCTCGGGCTACAAAGTTTTTGGTTTTTGGCAAACACCTTCTGTCTGGTGGTCTCCATTTCAGTGTCATCCAGAATTTTTTCCCTGCTCTAAAAATCCCCTCTGCTTTACCCACTCAACCCTCCCCTTGTTCTGAACCGCTAGCAACCACTGATCTTTTTGCAGATTTACAGTTTCATCATTCCTAGAACACCATTCAGTTGGAGTTTCAGACTGACTTCTTTTACCTGGATGTACATTGAAAATTCACTCATCATATTGTGGCTTGCTGGCCAATTTCTTTTTGTCACGGAGTGCTTTTCCATTATATTTGCATATTCTCTCCCCTATTAAAGGACATATTGGTTATTTGCAGTCTGGGGTGGTTGTGAATAAAGCTGCATTTTTTTTTGGTTGGTTTTGTTACTGTTTCGTGGCTGTAAGATTCCCAAACATCTGGGCCCATGAATATCTACAAGTGGTGATTGCTGTGTCCTGTGCTGAGGCTGCGTTCAGCCTTTCAAGAGAAGACCCTACCTCTTAACATAGGGCTCTCCCATTTCATGTTCCCATCGGCAGTGAGGTGACTCCCTGTGGCTCTCTGTCCTCATTCGCACTTGGTACTGTTAGTCTTTTGGATGCTGGCTAACCTGGGGTACATGTAGGGGTCTCCCAGCTGACCTGGGGTACGTGTAGGGGGGTCTCCCAGCTGACCTGGTGTACACATGGGGGGTCTCCCAGCTGACCTGCTGTAGGCGTGGGGGGTCTCCCGGCTGACCTGGTGTATGTGTAGGGGGGGATCTCCCGGCTGACCTGGTGTACGCATAGGGGGGTCTCCCGGCTGACCTGGGGTACACATAGGGGGTCTCTCGGCTGACCTGGGGTACACGTAGGGGTCTCCCCGCTGACCTGGGGTATGCGCAGGTCCCCTGGCTGACATTTCTTTGCCTTAATTCCCTCATGACTGGATGGTGCCTGCTGCGCGGCCTGCCTGCCACCTGCCTGGCTCCTCTGGCGGCGCCGCAGACCTTTTGCCCATTGGTCAGTGGGTTGTTAGTTTTCTTACTGTTGCTTTTTAAGAGTCCTTTGACATTTTTGGATACAAAAATGTGTCAGGTCCATATTTGCAAAATAATTCCACTCAGTAACAGACTTCAGCAATGATCTTCCAGGAACTGGCATTTTTAATTTTAATGCTCAACTTATGAGTTTCTTATTTCATGGAACTTGTGTTTGTTGCTGTATCTAAAAACTCACTGCCAAACCCAAAGTTGCTTGGGTTTCATCCTTTTACCTTCTCAGAGTTTACAGTTTTTCATTACACTTATGTCTGGCGTCCAGGTTGAGAAAGGCGTCAAGTCCTGTTAAGGTCATTTTCTTCTTTTGCAAACGCACACCCATCAGTTTTAGTACCATTTGTTGGAAAAGTCTGTCCTTTCTGCACTAAAGCGTCTTCGCTCCTGCATCAGGATCGCCCCCCTGCCTTGGCCTGGGCCTGTTTCTAGGGTCTCTGTCCTGGTGGGTTGGTCCCCACTCCATCCTCTCTCCTGTGCTGCACTGTGGCTTTGTGTTAACTCTCCACAGTGGGTCGTGAGACTCCTCCAGCTTCGTTCTAACTCTTCAGTATTGTTTTGGTTATTCCAGATCTTTTCCCTTCCTAAATATCATTTAGGACTAGTTTGACAATACGTATAGAGTAGCTTATGGGATTTTGACTGGGATTGCGTTGAACCTATAGATCAAGTGGGGCAGAACTGACATCTTAAAATTTGGGGTACTCACATTCATGGACACAGAATATCCCTGGATTTATTTAGATCTTCTTTGATTTTTCTTTTCAGAGTTTTGTAGTTTTCCACCTATAGTTCTTGTACATATGTTATTACATTTGTACCTAAATATTTCATATTCTGGGTGCTGTTGTAAATAACACTGTTTTTTAAATGTCAAGTTCCAGTTGTTCTTTGCTAGCATGTGGAAAAGTAACGACTTGCACATTAACCTTCTATGTCAGGACCCTTCTGAATTTGCCTGTTGGTTCCAGGAATGGTGGTGATTGGGGTTCCCCCCCTTTTATTCTTTGGTACTTTCTACATAAACAGTCTTGCCATTTGCAAATGAAAGTCATTTCATTTCTGCCTTCTTGATCCTATAATGTTTCACTTCCTTTTTTTTGGTCCTGTGCACTAGCCAGGACTTCCAAGGTGATGTTGAGAGAGGACATTCTCTCCTAGCTTCCCACCTTAAGGAGGAGGCCCATAGTTTCCCACAACTGGGTGTGGTGCCAGCAGGAGGAGTTTTATAAGCGGGGAAGCACCTTGTATTGGATTTGGTCAGATGTGTTTTTTTGCATCAGTCGATGCAATGATATAATTTTTCTTCTTTAGCCCTCTGATGTGGTAGACTGTGTAGGTTGATGTCCAACTGTTGATCCAGCTTGCGTACACCTTGCTAGCATTGGTTTGCTGATATTTTGTGGGACCCTTTCGCATCCGTGTTCATGAGACACATTGGTCCGTGGTCGTTTTCTCAGGACATCTTCATCTGGTTTTGGTAGTGGACTAGTGGCAGCCCCGGGGATGAGTTGGGAAGTGTTCCTTGGATTCTGTGTTCTGGAATGGACCATGGAGGATTGGTATGATTTCCTCCATAAATGTCTGAAGGACTCACTTGGGCTAGTGCACTCTCCTTTAGAAGATGACTGATGGCTTAAGTTTATTTAATAAAGTCCTGTTGAAACCATGTGCTTCCCCTCGTGTGTATGTTGGGAGTTTGTGTCTTTCGAGGAGTTGGTGCATCTCATCTAACCCGTGGAATGCATGGGTGGAAGTTCACGGTATTTCTCATGTTATCCTCTTAATTCCTTGGGATCAACAGTCACCTCTCTCTCTCTCCTTCTTCCCCTTGATTGGGAAGTGTTTTAAAAATACTCTTTGAGCCTCTTCCCATGTGGGCTTCGGGTGGAGGTTTGGGGTGGGCCTGGATTGCTCTCCCGGGATGCCCCAGAGCTCCTTGCAGCTCCTAGATAGCCTGGGGACTGTCATATCCACGTCCTGCCCTTTGCTGTTTGCTTTCAGACTTTCATCCAGGGCACTCTGGCTGTTTGTGAAGTGCACAGCCGCTGTGTTGATTCAGAAGAGGAGAGGGCAGACGTGAGGACCCTGCCTGCCTGGCCCTCCCCCTCCTCAGCTCAGGGCAGCCCCCGGGAAGCACTAGGGCCTCAAGACCCCATTCCTGGCTCTCTATCGAAGGGCATAAAGCTCAGGACATAGCTCAGGTTGGACCAAGTCCGGCAGCTTGTGTTGTTCCTGTTCTCACCTTTGTCAGAGGTGTCCATCCTTGGACAGGGCTACCTTCCCAGTGGCCAGTGGGTTCCCTGTTGCTCACTGGCCAGCGTGCTAAAGAGGGGCTCAGGACCATGCAGCTGGATCCTGCTCTGAATTTGGAGAGACAGCATTTAGCCCCAGTCTCTACTCCCAGAACAGAGCGTGCACAAGTGTCCCAGGTGCGGCTGGCCTCTCCACGGAAAACCCAGGTGCTCTCTGCTCGCACTCCTGGGGGATTGTGGTTGACGTCAGTTTCTCACTTTGTGCTTCTGATTTGGAAGGTTCTGCACTGACCAACGGGGGGCTGAGCCTGCACAGCCCCATGAAGAGGAAGCTGGAGACAGAAAAGGATTACGTCTTTGACAAGAGGCTCAGGTACAGTGTCCGGCAGAATGAGAGCAACTGTCGGTTTCGAGACATCGTGGTGCGGAAGGAGGAGGGCTTCACACACATCCTGTTATCCAGCCAGACCTCAGACAACAACGCGCTGACCCCGGAGGTAAGGGCCATGGCTGGAGGGGTGGACAGGTGGGGACGTCATTCCAGACCTCCTTTCCCATCCTCGCAGTACCCTGTGGGAACAGGGTGGGGGTTGCCACAGAGTGGGCTCTGGGGGACATGGCTGAGGGGTGGCCACTCACCAAGCTGGCATTGCTTGGTGGATTCAATACCCTCAGGGAGCCCTGGAAGTGGAATGGGGTGTGGTGCTGTGTCCTCGACCCTGTGGTCACATGTCTTATCCTTATGATTTACAGAGACTGTGGTTCTTTTGTGGAACTGTGGGCCTAAGAGTCTGGGGTGATTGACAGACTGTGAGAGAGGAGCCAGCTGATGCTGTGGGCTGTGGGGCAACCCTTGGTAAAGGCTGGCTTCCCTTTTACTAGGCCTTGAGTTTGGGGGTCTCTCCTCCTCCACCTTTAGCAGAAGCATCCCCAGGTCCTCTCCCCTGTAGACCTCTGTGTGGGATCACAGGAGTCCAGAGGGCGGGCTTTACCCATTGGGGCTTGGCATTGTTCATACCCCCAAAACCCTGTTATTTTAAGCTCATCATGAAGCATCCGCATGAGACCAATTCTTGGATTTTTTTACTACTTTTTAAAAGCATACTTTAAAAGACACAGCGTTTTCCTTCTAGAAATCGATAGAGCAGACACATGCCAGTTCCTTCCCTCTTCGGTGCAGCTTCGTGTTTTCCACTCATCCCTGAAATCGAAGACCACCTGTGCTTGACTGATCTGAGGTGCACGGGTCCTCACCTGCTGAGCCATGGGTGTGGTTAATCAGGAATTCCATTCCTCGTCAGCACTGGCCGTTTCAGATGGCAGGGAATGGGCAAGAGCTGTCGATCCCATAATTTCCGGGCTCTCACCCGCAGTGGATGGCCTCTGGGTGAGCTGGCCAACTGGGTAAAGTTGCCAGAGGAGGTTCTGGAGTCTGATAGGCCTGAGTTTGAATCTACTCCACCAGCTTGCCACTGTGTTACCTTGGGAAGTTGTTCTGCCTCTCTGAACCTCCTCATTCATGGAAGTCCCACAGGACCTTCCTTGTGAGCTTAGAGATGACGTGTGCAGAGAGGCTCCTGGTACATGGGGGTATCCAGCAAATGCTCCAGTTCTCGTTAAGATAAAACAGAGGCCACTGACTGGTCATCAGCAGGATCCACTTGCTCATTAGTAGAGAACCTGGAAGGAGACCACTGTCACCGTCACAGTTGAAATTCTTTTCCTAGCTGTATGTCTGATATCAGGTGAAATTCATGCATTACTGGACGTGTTAACAAGATTTTGAGGCAACCCATCTTTGAAATCTGGTCAGAATCTTCTGTGACCACACAACCTTGCATTCCGTGTGTGTGCAAAACCAGCACCACGTGGACCATGCCACCATCTGCTGCCGGTGGGAGAAGTAGCTGGGCTTACTGGCACCGCAGCCGAGCAGCCGCTGAGGGCCTTGATGGTCGAGCACAGTGAAGTGAGTCCTGGGGAAACAGCTTCCTAGGCAGCCTGTGGGAGCAGGGTGAGCCAGCGCAGTCTTTTCAAAGCAGTCCTTCCAAGGAATTTACACTTTTATGTCCTTGAGGTTGTAGGGTGGAATCTGGTCAGTTCTTAAGAAGCCACAAAAGCTTTTTTCCCGTTGTCCCAGTGTAAAGTTCTGGCTTCTTTCTTCAGCAACCACACTTTCTTGACCATATTTTAACTACTTCCTTCCTGGTTAAACTACAGCTCAAATTTTTCTGCTGTCCTTTGTTTTCCTGATTCTCACTGCATATGTGTGCTATGGTTCAAATATGAGATATCCCCCAGAAGCACCTGTCGACACAGGAACATTCAGAGGAGAAATGATTGGGTTATGAGAGCTGTCACCTAATCAATCCATCCCAGTCTGAATGGGCTGCAGTAGGTGATAACTGTAGGCAGGTGGGGCGTGGCTGGAGGACATGGGTCACTGGGGGTGTGCCCTGGAAGGGTGTGTTTTCCCTGTGGCCCCTTCCACCCCACCATGAGCTGAGCAGCTTTCCTTTATTGGGTCCTTCCCCCAAGATGTGCTGCCTCACCTTGGGCCAAGAACATTGGAAGTAGCCGTCTGTGGACCGAGACCTCTGAAACCACAAGCTCCAAATAAACTTTCCCTCCTCTGAGATATTCTTGTCAGGTATCTTGGTCACTGTGATAGAAAAGCTGACTAAAATCATCTGACTAAAAGCAGCCAACAAGACCCATGCCACAGTCTGAATGTTGTGCTGCCATGAAATTTTCTCCACCAGATTGATTCATCCACCATATTTCAACTCAGCCTCCACACAAAGTCTCAGGGCATGGACAAAATATAGACAAGCACCTTACTGGAACTAACGTGTGAGGCCTCTTAGCAATTTCCAGTGGAGTCCTGATTTCCATCTGAAACCTCATCAGCATGATCTTTTTTGTCCATATTCCTGTGAGCATTCTGGTCTCCATTGCCTGATAAGCTCTGCTTACAACATTCTTAGCTTTTGTCTAGCCTGCTTCCCCAAACATTTCTAAGCTTATCTCCTAAACCAACTCCAAAGGCTTCTGAACCACATGGTCAGGTATACTAACAACAGTGACCCCACTGCTTGGTACCAATTTTCTATGTCTCTCAGCTTTCTGTCACTGTGACAGAATAGCTGAGAAAAACAACTTAAAAGAAGGAAGATTTTTTTTTAGTGCTGAGTAATATTCCATTGTGTATAAATGCCACATGGCATTTGCAGGCAAATGGATGGCATTAGAGCAGATTATGCTAAGTGAAGTTAGCCAGTCCCTAAAAAACAAATGCTGAATGTCTTCTTTGATATAAGGGGGGTGACTCAAAATGGGATAGGGAGGAAGAGTATAAGAAGAAGACTACCACTAAATAGGGAAGAGAGGTGGGAGGGAAAAAGAGGGAGAAGGGGAGTTGCCTGGAAGATGGAAGGAGAGCCTCGTTGTTATACAGAAATCACGTATGATGTTGTGATGAGAAAAAGAAAAAAAATGTGTCACGTTAGATTGGATAGAGAGAAAGGATGGGAGAGGAGGGGAGGAGGAGGGAGGATGGGAAGGGCAGCAGAACAGAATAGACATCATGATTGATGTACGTACATTCCATGTATGTACTATATGTCAAAATACATTCTGCTGTCATGTACGACTAAATAAATAAATAAAATAAATAAATAAATAAATCACGTGAATCAAAAAAAAAAGAAGAAGGAAGATTTATTTGGGTTCTGTTTCAGAGGCTCTGCACTGTTTCTGCGTCTGTGGTGAGGCAGAGCATCATGGTAGAAGGATGTGGTAGAGGAAAGATGTTTGTCTCGTGGCATCTAGAAACAGAGATAGAGAGCAAGAAAAGGTCCAGAGACAAAAGATACCCTTCAAAGGCATGCCAGCAGTGACCCACCTCTTCCAACAAGGCCCCGCCTCCTAAAGTTTCTATCACATCCCAGTAGTGACACCGCCAGGGACCAAGCCTTTCACACGTGAGCCTTTGAGGGAGATTTCAGATCCAAACTGTAACAGGGTAAAAACTGCACATTCTTTTAATTCAATAAGCACTTGTTAAATCCCATCATGTGAAGGGTTCTGAACTAAGGGCCATGAGGTATATATAGACGAGTGAAGCACCATTATAGCTTTTATGGGATTGTGTCAGTTACCTACCGCTGTGTAACACATTGCCCTAAACTCCCCACCTTAAAACAGTGCATTTATTATCTCACATTTCTGTGGGTTGGGAATCTGGGTGTGGCTTAGCTGGGTGCCTCGGGCTCCCAGTCCCCCACAGGTGGTAGTAAAGGTGTTGGCTGGGGTCGTAGTCTCATTGGAGATCACCAATGTGTCTTTTTGACAAGCCTCAGTCTTCACTGACCAGAGACATCTGTTCCCTGCCTTGTAGGCCCCAGGGTTGCTCCTGGTATGGAAGCCCACTTCCTCCAGAGCCAGTGCTCCAAAAGAGACAGCAAGAGAAGGTGGCCCAGACAGAGCTGTGGTCTTTTGGTCACCTCACCCTCTCTTGAAAGTGACATCCCATTGCTTTGGAATAGAAGCAGATTGCGAGATCTGGTCCTCACTCAAGGGTAGGGGATTGCATAGGGCGTGAAGACCAGGCGAGGGGTCCATGAGGCCCATCTCAGATGTGGACCATCACAGGGGTCTCGGTCACACAGAAAGCAGAGAAGGCGAGAATGTGCACATTCTTCAGGGGCTCGTGAGAGACTGTAGCTAGCTGGGGATTTGGGGAGGTCCCTCGTGGCGGCTTGCTTTTGAGATGGTCCTGGGGTGACTGGATCCTCGGCAGAAGGAACCCTGGTTCTACCCCTGTACTCGGTGTCTGGCTCCAAACCCATGGCTGATCTGAAGCTGGAAGTCATGCCGGGGAAGTGGGCTCTCTCTGCAGACGCTCACAGCAGGTGCAGGCGGCACCTAAGAAGGGCAGAGCATGGACAGGAAATGCAGAGGAGACGTTTAGGACTTCCAAGTACAAGGCCATCCACGACCATCGTCCAGTCACACAGCAGAGGCTCTGAGGGGACCGGCCGTGACCTTGGAGGAGCACGCTCCACAGGAGCAGCACATTGTGCCTCAGAAGGCAAAGGAGTGGAGGAATTCTAGAACACTTCACTTTAAACACAGCAGTACTCTATAAAATTTGGAGTCCTTCAAGAAAGTGGAACGTCGGCCATGGGTCCACGTTGAGTTCTCAGCACAAGAAGAGCAAAGGGAAGGTGCGCTAATGAGGCGCAACTGCTGGTCTCGTACTCCGTCGTGTCAGTAAAACACACACCACTTTCAGTTAATTCATAAGGACGCAGCTGTTTTGCCTTGTTTATACAGACTGACTGGTAAGCGTGGCCCTAGCAGAGGTCCCTCTGAGTCATGATGGAATTGCAGTCCGTAGCTTTGCAGCAGGGTTTTCCTGTATTGGCCTCTGAGAAAAACTGAGTTCATACGTAGGTGAGAGCGTGCCTATTTCTGGAGGCAGATGGATTAAAGGAACTGCAAGAGAGTGGCCTGCTCACTTTTTTGATGTTCAAAATGAACATCTGTGGCTTACACCCTATTAGCAAGGAATGTGCTCCTCCTGTCCTTCCAGCGGAGCTGGGGCCTGGAGAGTCTTGATTCAGATTGCTACCTGGCCCTACCTTTCCCATTAAAATACATCCATTTAACTCATCCCTATCTTTCCCATTAAAATACAGCCATTTAAGGGTGTGGGTCTGAATTTGGATTATAGTCCTGCTCTTAGTGCTGGTGTGCCTTGGACAATTTTCTTCACCTCTCTGAATCTTCATTGCCTCACCTGCGAGATTGAGATGCTGTTTTCTACCTTGCAGAATTTGTTTGTGATACGGTATCAGGTGGCAATTTCCTGATGCAGTTCCTGGAATTCTAGGTGCTTAATAAGTGGGGTTCTTTTAAAAGTATAATTTAAAAAACAAAGCTCTCAGAGTATCACCCCAAGACCCTCCAGTCGCGCCTGTTGAATGATTGCTGATGACCCCAGGAAAGCCTGTCCCATGCTGTTTTCCCTGAGACGGGAAGCTCATGCAGGTGAGCTCCGTGGCTTGATTCCTGTTGCCACTTAGAGTTTCTCCTTCCCTAACTTCCCGAACTCCTTCCTCAGCTGAGTGACTGAGATTTCTTCAGTTTATCCCCCTTCACTGTAATTCCATTATCTAAAAATTCTCTACACACATAGTGACATCGAGATGGGATCACCCCTCCACACCACTCTTAAGCATCGACCTTGGCACCCCCTCCCTGGACATTCCCTGGTTTCTCACACAGTAGCATTGCCGCCACCTCGAGTTAATCCGTATCAGTGTTGTGATTGTCACTGGGATGGTGGAAGATGGTTGGGGTTGGCGGCAGGGCTTTCAGTGCTTGGTTGCTGTCAAGCCGCTGGTGAGGCAGCCTTGACCGTGGTGAGGAGCACGTGGCGGAAGAAGCCCGTTGGCTTCAAGGCACTCCGGAAGCAAAAAGAGAAAAGAAGGGGCCAGGGTCACACTGTCCCCTCCCCGCCCAGGGACACAACCTCCTTCCACTAGGCCCCACCTCCTAAGGATTCCGCCACCTCCCGGTAGCCGGGGAGCCAGCCTGTAACTCTGGAGCCTCTGGGGACGGCCCAGATCCAAGCTGCAGCATGGCTCTGTGTGGGTTCCCACGTGGGTTTCTTTGCTGTTCTGCACGTCAGCGTTTCTTTCGGCACCTACTTTTCCTCTTGAAGGACATCCCTTACAGTTTGGGGTGTGTGGTGTGTGTGTCTCAGAGGCGAAGCCTTGGACTGAAACGGCCTCCTCCTCACCCCTGCCCTTGAGTGGCCTGGCGCTGGGTGGAGAGCCTGACGGAAGTTCTTTCTGTGCACCTTCAAAATGACGCTGTGTGACCTCCCTGGACTTGGGCCTCCTGTCCAACGTTGGCCCTGGGGAGGGAGGGAAGCTCTCTTACCTGTGGATACACGAAAGCTTCGTTTTGTCTTCGATGTCATGAAGACCCACTCTCCCTTCATCGTTCTTTCTTCTGCTTAACTTTCCGCAGCTCCTGAATTTCAGAATTGAGGTCTGTGTCCGGTAGACTGATACCGTTTCCCCAGAAATGCCCAGTCCTCACGCCCTGGGCCTTAGGTTACATGGCGGGGAATCAAGGTCTCAGAGGGAACTGAGGCTGCTCATCAGCTGCACTGAGATGAAGGGAGCAGGATTACCTGGATTTCCTGGAGGGCCCAGTGCCATCGAGGGCCCTTCACTGTACAAGAGGGAGGCAGAGGAGCCGCTCTCCCAGAAGTGCCAGGAGGGAACGTGAGCAGGACCGTGCTGCCCGTGGCTGGCTCTGGGGAAGAGGCAGGGCCTGAGCCAGTGCAGCCGCCTCTGGTTGCTGGAGAAGGCAGGGAAATGGACCCTCCGGCCAGCCTCTGGGCGGGAGTGCAGCGGTGCCTGGGTTTGCTCCCGCTTTTCTTCTTTGGATCCTGCCTCTGCCCTGTCCTCTGTGACCTCCTGAGAGAACCCTGCAGCCTGGTCTCAAGTCTCCTGGGCCTGTCACGCTGGGCGTGACGTCTTGCCCCTGCTCCTGTGCTCTAGGCGCTGGATGGTGACGTCAGGTCTCAGGTCACTTGCCCTCCCTTCACTCCTTCAGTTTGTCACTGTGAGAAGCTTTTACTCCTTAAAGCTGGTTTCCCACGATCTTCTCTTCCTTCTCTGTGGTTCTCGTGTGTCCTTCCTCTCCCTTCTTATTTCCAGTGTTTTCAGTTGTCGTCTCTTTTAGGTCGGTGTCACTTACAGTCGTCTTCCCATCTGCAGAGTGCAGACCTGTGTCCCCTCGAGTGCTGTGGGATCTGGGGTCGTGAGCTCAGCCTCGGCAGGGACTGTTTTCCTGGGACAGTCCTCATGCAGTCCCGGTCTCCGTTCTCTCCAGAGGACTCTGACATTCGTTTTGATGGGATACCTCAGGGTTGTCGCCAGCCGAGTCCAGTTTCATGTTAATTTTTCTGAGGTGGAGATCTCCCTCCTGTGTGGATATGATAACTCAGCACTTCAGATCCACATGCAGAGCAGGCTTGGAGTTTCAGTTTCTCATGGGAGATTTTTCCTATAGCCGAGATGAATTATTTGTTTGAGCCACGTCTTTGACTGTGGGGAGGGGAACAGGTGGCAGAGAGGCTGGGCTGGTTACTGGTGGAGTGGATCAGCACAGCTGTCTGTCTCCACATCTAGGACTCTAGCAGCCTGGCCACACGACCGTGTGAACTCACCCCAAACTCCTGGGTGCCCAAGAAGAATGGTGTATGTGGGGTGGACACGTCTGCTGCAGGAGTGGGACTGGAAGGAGTCAGAAAGTGTGAAGGGCTGCTGGGGTCAGTTGACCCAGAGTCCAGACTCTGAGTCTCGGATGACGCTCTGGCCTCTGTGGCCAGCATGCATGTGGCAGGGGTCAGCTTCCGAGTCTGGCTGCACCATAAGCTCTGCTCTCCCCTGTGCTCTGCAGAGCTCATACCCGACTGCTCCAAAAGCCAGACGGCTGTTCCTTGGAGGGCGTTAGCCAGAGGGCCAAAGTCAGCTTTTTCACTGCTGTGACTAAAAGACCCGACCAGAATGATTTTAGAGGAGGAAAAGTTTATTTAGGGACTCACAGTTTCAGGAGTCTCTTTCATAGACTGTTGGCTCCATTCCTTGGGGCTCGAGGTGAGGCAGAACGTCATGGTGGAAGAGGGTGGTGCAGGGAAGTAGCTCACATGATGATCAGGAAGCAGAGAGACTGCGCTTACCAGATCCCAAATATATACCCCAAAGACATGCCCCCAAATCCCACCTCCTCCAGCCACACCCTACCCACCTTCAGTTATCACTCAGTTATCCCCATCGGGGGATTATTTCACTGAGTGGGTCAAGCTTTCATGACCCAGGTATCTCTCCTCTAAACCTTCTTGCATTGTCTCACACATGAGCTCTTGGGGACACCTCACATCCAGACCGCGATGACAGTTGCCTCGAGAGGCAGCCTCACCTGTGTTCAGAGCTTCCTGATGTGCGAGAGCAACCTGGATCTTTTTCTTTGGGGGTTGGAGGAAGGTGCTGTGCGAGAATTGCTATGTAATGAAGCAAGAAATGATTGAGTGCCCCCTGTATGCCAGGTATCATACTAGGCTCTGAGAATATGGTGGGAGTGAGCGAGCCGTCATTCTTGTCCGTATTAAAATCACAGCCTAGCTGGGCAAGCAGTACCCCTTTAGTGGCATGAAGGGGAGGAACGGAAGGCTCTTGGTCTAGAATTCACCATCCCTCCTAGGAATGGAGCCTGCAGGTGGCCAGAGCATCTTCTGCTTCCTTCAGTCCTCACTCTGGTCCTTGAAAGTGGGTGCTGTGGTCCTCCCCATGGAAGAGGAACCAAGTGCTCTCAGTGTGTCTCAGGTCACGTCCCTGGGACATGGCAGAGCCACGGCTCCCAACAGGTTTTCTTACTCTGTAGGACTTGAACCCAGGTCTAGCTCTGATGCCAAAGCCTGTTTGCCATGAGCCACCAACAGGCACTGTGAGGGTCTGGGCTGAACTCAGGACGGACAAGAGTCCAACTGAACTGAGCCGTGGAGAGAGGCTGCCGACCTCACCTGGGCTGCAGGCAGCTATTTTTCCACACCTTGTAAACGGCTCAACTAGCAAATGCCACAAGAGGATTTGTAGAGATTTTCCAGGGATTGCCCGGCACCCGGCCCGTCTCCCCGGTCTGAGCCAGTGACCACAGGCTCCTTATTAACTCCTCTGCGTGCTTCAGGAACGGTGTCGGGAGGCTTGGGTCTGATAAGCATTCCCTTCCTCGGTGTGGGCGCTTGCTTGTGTTCAGGGCAGACTCCCTTCACTGGCAGAGCAGTTTGCTCACCTCTGGCCTCAGGGCCTGGCGTCCGGCTTCCAGGGCAGACGCTCATCCCTGCCCCTTCACCTCTGCCTGCAGATCATGAAGGAGGTCCGGCGAGCACTGTGCAACGCGGCCACGGACGACAGCAAGCTGCTGCTGCTCAGCGCAGTGGGGAGCGTGTTCTGCAGTGGCCTGGACTACTCCTACCTGATTGGCCGGCTGTCCAGTGACCGGCGGAAGGAGAGCACTCGAATTGCAGAAGCCATCAGGTAAGTTCTGCTCCTGTTGGGACACATCGGGGTTCTAAGGTTTCCCCATTTAGCAGACAAAAAAGTACAGGTTGCCCAGTTAAATTTGATTGTCAAACAGTGGAACATATTTTTAGCATAAGTTTGTGCCAATGCAATGTTTGGGATCTACTCATGTTTAAAATGATTAGTTATTTATCTGAAATTTGGGTTTTAATGGGCTATCTTGGTTTTATGTGCAGCCCTAGTCCTGCCTTGCTCTCCAGGTCAGATCCCACTCTTATTAGTCTTTTGATCAGAAGGAGACTTTTTCCCGACTGAGGCCCGTGTCGGCTGATGCCCATATGTTGGGCACTCTCCTCCTCCTGGAGGTCCCTGCTTTGCTTGTCTGGATGTTCCTGGGTCCTGGACCTGAAATGGCTGGTTGTCGGGGTGGGGGCAGGTGCTCTGGGCAGCTGAGCATCCTTAGACCCTGTGGAGTGGAGCGTTCCCCTCTCTGTTGCCTTTGGGTAAAGTTGGGGTCCTGGTATGACATCGGTGTCCCCTTTGAGACACAAAGTTTGCTCATTTCCCCATTCTTTATAAATGTGTCCAAAGCCAGTGAGGTGACTTCTAGCCAGGCCACTGAGCTGGTTACAGCCATCCCTTGGCGTCCACTCCAGCAAGGGCAGATGTGCTCGCTGCTGTACCTGGCTCAGGGAAGCAGACCAGAGACACAGTTTAGTAATGTCCCCTGGTCTCCTCAGAAGGGACACTTACTTCATCCTGAGCCTAGGCTGTACGTGGGGGATTTTCCGGCCTCCGGCCTCAATGCAGTCTGGCCATGTCACACAGCAGGCGACACTGGAGCGCCTGTGCCTGTGTTCCTCGTTCCCGCGTCCCTCTCCAGGGAGCGCCTGCTGGTGCCCTTGCTCAGAGCGCCACGTGCTTCCTGTTGCAGAATGCTTTCCAGAGGGCATGGGAAGCCTGGTCACCAGCTCTGTGCTGCCCCCAGGCCTGCAAAGCACAGCCCAGCCCCAGTCACAGGCAGTGTGTTCTCTGCTTGGACTCAGTACTGGCTTCTCCTGAGTTGAGGGGACCGGCAGCTTCCCTATGATATTTCCCGCCTCGGTAGTGGCCAACAGAACCCACTTCAGGGGACCCAGCGCTCCCCCTGCCAGCCTGGCTCAGTCTTGGTCTGGGTGTGTTGCCATCAAGGCCCCCGCTGGATCTCCAGACGCCTGGGTGCACCTGCGTGACCTTTTCCCTGGCTGTCACTCCACTCACACTCTGCTCAGAGCAGGCAAACCTCGTGCAGCCCCCCAAACATACACCCACATTCAGTCCAAATCCCGGACTCTGCACATGTGACTTTACTTGCAAAAAGGGTCTTTGCAGAAGTTCTCAGTCCTGAGATGAGGTCCTCCTGGAATAGAGTGGATCCACACCCAAAGAGAATGCCCTTAGGAGAGGAGACAGAGTGAGCAGGAGGAGGTGGCCTAAGGCAGAGAGGGAGGGAGGGAGGCATTGCCAGCCAAGGAGTTCAGGTGGCCCGTGCCACAGGAGCAGCCAGCCTGCCCACCCCAGGCTTGGGACTCGGGTCTCCACAAGGAGGGGAGAGTGGTTTCTGTTGTTTGGAGCCTGTGTGTGGTGGCCGTGACAGCAGCCCTGGGAGACGGCTGCTCCTGGGGAAATTGTCACATCTCAGAATGTCCCGCCCATCACTTGGGTTCTCCTCTCAGGCAAGCTCCATGCCGACCTCCACTCTGGCACCCTAAAGGCCACTCCTTCCAGGGCGCCCTGTTTATCTGCTGGTGGGGTCTATGAGCAGGGGATCCCTGACAGCTGTCGCACAGTGGCCTCTGTCAGTCGTGGGTGGATGTGATGAGGTTGTCCCGTGGGGTTGTGGGGTGGTGCCAGGGCACATGGGAACAGGGACTTGCAGCAGTGTCACTGTGGGCAGGAAACCCAAACAGAAACAGGGGCCCCAGGAGGCTGGAGCCCCCACATGCTCGCCCACCCCTGCAGCTTTTCACCACCAGTGAGGACGGCGGCCTCTCCCCAGCCTCCCCCTGCATCTGCCTCTAGATCTGTTAAGGCTGAGGGGTGTGGTCCTGCCTCCTGTTCCCCATAGCCTCCCCTTCAGGGTCACAGGACTGACATCCACACCCTTCTAGAGAGTTGGGAACCCAATCTAGGGAGGTGGCGGTGTCAGGGGCAAAAAGGGATGAGAGACATCAGCCATAGGAAGCTGCAGTGGAGACGGGTCCGGGCTCTGGGTCCTGGACTGGCTTCTGACGTCTCCAACTGGGAAACCCAGGGAGCCCCAAAGCAGGGCCCTGCATACAAGGAGATGCCAGAGCCCCAGTCCCACCCAGGGGAGGCACCTCCAGTGGGATGCAGACCTCACCGTCTCAGCAGCACAGGGGCTTCTTCCTCATGCTTCAGGGGGAGCGGGGGCTAATTTATGGGCTGTGGAGGTGGGAAAGGGGACATCCCTTGGCTCTCTTGTTCCCTGCCCTCAGAGCATGGAGAGGCAAGAGGGCTCCTTTCCCAAACCCAGCTGCCTGGCAGCCCCCGCGGGAGGTCCTGAGGGAGCCGGGGCAGCCCATGTGCTGTGGCAGAGTCCCCCCGGCTGTGATGTGCAGCACTGACCAGGAGGTTCCTACACAGGGGTCGAGAGTGCTGAAGGAGGGACAAAAGGACAAGACGGAAAAGGTAGTTGTGAGGAGTGGAAGGTGCGGAAGGAGGAGTCAGGGTGTCAGGAGGCAAGACTGACAGCCTCAGCACGGGGGAAGAGACCCAGGCGCAGACAGTGTGGCTGCATGGAGATGAGTGCTCGGGCCACAGAGGGACTGTCAGACCCCGCTCGAGATAGGAGTCTCAGGCTCCCACTCAGGGGTGCACCCCCGGAGCCCAGGACTTCTTGGTGGGTGGGCTTCCAGGGCAGGGCCTGTGGCTGAGCTGAGTCCCGCCCAGCTCCTGCGGGTTCCCAGGTGCATGACGTGTTTACAGGCCCAGCCGTGTCTTGTGCAAGAGCTTCATTCACAGTCCAGCGGGGCGGAACATCTTCTGGACGTGGAGCTGTGCCCTTTCTGCACATGACCTGCGGACGTCCCTGGCGGTTGTCCCATGCTCTTGCAGGGCTGACCCGGGGCTCAGACATCTCCTGAGCAGTGTTCCCACCCTCTCCCCCTCCTTGCCTAAGGAAAGCAAGCACACAGGGCGGTGCTGGCTCACTCTGCAGGTGTTTGACGGACTAGCGGAGGTCGGTCGAGGAGCAGATGTGGTCCATTCCCAGAAGCCTCTCCCCAGGACCATCCTGAAAGAGGCTGCCCTCACCTGAACTTGGCATGGATGGTGTGGTGTCTTGTCCAGTGTGGGGTTTAGGAAGGTGGCATGGGCTAGTGGCACCCACAAGGTGTGCGGAGGCAGCTACCTGGACACTTGCTAGTGGTATGGCCTTCAGCTCTTCTCCTGTCTCACTAAGGCCACTGGCTCCCGTGGAAAATGGGAATCATCACATGATGGCCCTGGCCTCCCTGGTGGGCTGCCCGCTGAGGAGCAATCAGGTTCCCTGCATGAGCGCTCCTGGCACTTACCAAGCCCAGAGCATTAGAGGTGAAGAGTCACGATCATTTTTGTTAGGCCTTCAGCCATGGGACAGAGCTGCGCGGAGCCTGACTACGGTGGGCTCCCGAGACCCCTCAGTGCCGGTTGCTGAGTGCATCTGTGCTCCCAGGCCTGGTCTGCCGACTCGCCTCTGAGACTTGGCAGTAAAGGAGCTGCCTTCAGGGCTCTGGTCAAAGAGAGTGGTCGATGGCTCACAGAAGAAATGCCGGTGCTCCGGGTGACATCCGCACACCCCACGAGCAGTTTGCCTTGAGTCTCCCTTAGGGTGTGTGGGCGGGGCTTTGTCTTTTAATTCTGATGCAGGCCCGTGGGGAGCCAGTATAGGTGTTTCCATTTTACGGAGAGAGAAATTGAGGCTCGAGAGGAGACCTGGCAGCCTGTCCACTGTTCAGTTAAGGGGCAGAGTTGATATTTGACCCCACGTCTTTCAAATTTTGAATTCCTTCCCCTTCTGCCACATCAGAGCAGCCTAGCAGCTGGTCAGGCAGCAGCTCAGGGCTTGTGCTGAGCAGAAGGAACTATGAAGGCCGGGGTCAGCCTGATGGCCCTGGAAACAGGGAAGATGGCAAGCCGTCTTGCGAGCCCAGCCCTGCCGTGGCCGTCAGATCAGATATCTGAGCCGCAGGCGTGTAATGCAGTATCCTGTTTGCTGTCTGGCTCCCACATCCCTGGGGCCCTTGAGATAGAGATCTGCCGCCCGAGGTGAGAGAATAGGAGGGGAGGGCCATCTTCACAAGGCGTTTTATACCAAGGAAATGAAGTGAGGGGTAGAGAAATGAACAGGAGCAGCACTCTCAGGTGGAGAGTCTGAGCCCTGTGTGCTTGGGCCCCAGCACCCCGCTTCATGGTCCCCGATGCCCTTGCCCAGAGCTCAGAGGGCTCTAGAGTCCTCAGGGAAAGGCTCTCAGAGGTGGGGGCTTCGGTTGATTGCTGAAGGACTGTGGCACAGATGGCAGAGCCAGGTAATGGGGACATCTGGGAGGCCCACCAAAGGGTCTTGGCCGTCACGGACCCTGTCACTGAAAATGTCCAACAAAGGTGGGATGGGGCTTCCTCAGGACGTGGCGCTGGGGGTTCTGTACCAAGTAGAAGAATTGGCTCAGTGAGTCGGAAAGTCCTTCCCAAGTCTGAGATCCACTGTTCTGGAATTGTATTGGCACAGGAATGAGATGTCTGATGAAAACCACCAAAGCCTGGGGTTCCAAGGATCCTAGGAAGAACCCCCATCCCCGAAGACTCCAGATTACACTGGTGAAAAGCAAGCCAGTGACTAACCTAAAATCTCACTGTGAGGTTGGGAAACAAAGCCAGGGGGTCGGATGCCAGGACTCTTTGTAGGGGTATCTTTTTAGGTCAGCTGCAGTGAGGCCAGCAGTGACTGAGGTAACTCCATCATGTGAGACCATATGATGCCCAAGCCTGGTACAAAGCTGTGCACTTTCATGATGACTTGTATAGGTCATGTGACACCCCTAGTCCCAGCAGAATATGAAGTGATCTCACAGTAGACTCCAACGCCAGCATGTCATTGTGATACCCACATCTCTTGATGTGAGTTACGGGAGGATCATTAACTTTCTATTAGTTCAATATTGGCTGCCATAACTCAACTATGATAGAAATTTACTTCTTGGTTATGTAAACCTGAAACACATGTCACTGATCATCCTGTGGCTGTCATCCAAAAGAGACTGAGGACTGTGGCTCCACTCCTGTCTTCCCGGACTGCGTGCTCATTTAGATGGCAGGGCTTGGAGGACTGTGTGGTGGGAGACTGAGCACCTGGAGTGGTTTCTACTCCATACCTAGTTGTAGGGGAGGCTGGGGAATATGTTCTACCAGCAGACTCAGAAAAAAGAAAGAAGAGATGGATTTGGTGAAGAGTTAGAGTCCTTGCCTGCAGTCCTTGCTGTCCTTCTGGGAGACTCATGTATTTCTTCAACAGCTGTTCACTGAGCATGAATTTCAGTATTGATGGAAACCCAGCAGTGCCCCGGGCAGACCTAAGGGTGTCCTTAAGGAGCTAAAAGGAAGAAGGATTCCAAAGCAAATGATTCCAAAGCAGATGATCAGTAGGGTAGCTGCAAATTGATAATGGTATTTCCAAGAACTCTTGGAGGCCTTTGTGGCTCGTGCACAGTGAGGAGGGTCAGGAGCCACGTAAGAGAAGCCTGAGAGGTCAGTCAGGGCAGAGCAAGGTTGTGAGTTCTTGATAGCTTCTAGTCTTGGGTCTGAGAATATGGGGGACGCTGGCTTTACTAGACATTGTGGCTCTTTCCTGCATATCCAGATGAATATTAAGTTTATAGATCTTATCTAGCAACTAGGGGAAGGCAAAAGCTTTGAAGGCAGAGGAAGAAGAGCTCACTCCTAGTGGCTCTACCTGGGAGGTAGAGATACGTACAGAAGGTCAGGGAGAGAGCGTGTTGCCACACCCTGTGGTCACTATTCCAGAGGCCTGATGCCTGGGGGCAGCCCAGCACCTTCCCAGTGGGTTCAGAGTCACCCTGTGGGATGTAGACCCTCACTAGCATCATGGAATCACCCTCGGCGGCTCTGGCATCCCTGTAGGTGGTGCAGAATCTTAGATGTCACTAGCCCACCCGTGGCCACCATTTGAAGCATGAGTTCCCTCCTCAGCTTGGCCCTGGTGCTCACTGAGCCAGACAGAGCAGGGTTCCTGTAACAGCAGGGGTCTCTGCCTCCCAGAGCCGCCCCATTCTGCTCCGGGCCAGGGGTATGTGGACATTCTTTCTCTCTTCTTGTTGGATTTTTCTCTGGGACATCCTTCTGCTGGCTGTGGCTCTGGTTCTGGTTTGGAACCCTAGCATTCAGGTCCACCTGTGTCACTGTCTAGGGTGTCTGTATCATTCACTGTCCATGACGTAACTCTCAAGAGTAGACAGGAGGCCGTGGGAGCTGGGCATGGGGCTGGGACATTGCACATGACCTGAGCCAACTGAGACAGCCACCACACAGGGCCTCTGTGCCCAGAGAAATGAGGCCCTGCCTGACCTCTGCTCACCTCTGACAGCTGGAGTGTGCATCGCAGCACCTGGGAGAATCGGGGGCATCCAGAGGGGCTCAGCAAGCTGAGGCTGCCTGGTAAAGAGGGTCTTCTTTCTCCCCCAGGGACTTTGTGAAGGCCTTTATTCAGTTTAAGAAGCCTATTGTGGTGGCCATCAACGGGCCAGCCCTGGGCCTGGGTGCCTCCATTCTGCCTCTCTGTGACATCGTGTGGGCCAGCGAGAAGGCCTGGTTTCAGACACCCTACGCCACCATCCGCCTCACGCCCGCTGGCTGCTCCTCCTACACCTTCCCCCAGATCCTGGGTGTGGCGCTGGTAAGCCTCCCCTTTCCCAGGGGCCTCTCTTTCTGGGATGATACGTTGGGTCCTGGCAGGATTCCCCCGTCTTAAGATGTGGCTTCTTATGGCTAGAAACCTGGGGGCCCTGTTAGCCTGCAGACTCTGTCTCAGCTGGCTGAGGCTGGGCTGGTCGCAAGGCCTCCAGGCTGAATGGAATGACCCCCCCCTCGAGGCTGTGCACTCCTTGAGCACCCGTGGTGTGCCGGGCTTTCCACCCAGGTGCTGTCTCACCGTCTAGTGGCAAGAAGACCCAGAGGGCCTCCAGTTCCCTGTTCCGTGCCAGCCAGGGGCTGCCATCCTCTTCAGTTCCTCCCCATGCTTGTGGTCACAGAAATGAGGGGGACAAGTTCTTGCCGACTGGGTTCTGTCTGGCTCCTTCTGCGGAGTTCATTCATCCATTCACTCACTCACTCCTGCTTCCCGCGACTGAGGACAGCCTCACGCCCTTGTCTTCAAACCTCTGGCGAACACAGTAGAGGCTATGGCCAGCCTGATACCTTTCTCTACACTGGCCTGAAAGATTGTCCTCTGGGTCATCAGGAACCATGAGTGACAGTCAGAATGGGGAGAGAGACTTATGAAAAGATCCGGAGGCCAGAGAGCTGGGCAGCTCACACCTGACCTGAGAGAGGCCAGTGTTCAGTGGAGTCGGGAGGAGCAGAGGGGGCAGAGCAGGAGGAAAGGTGCTGTCTGTCTGCCACGGGAGGGAGGTGGGGGCTCATTTCAGAGGAGATGTGCACCCTCATTAGCTCCTGGCTGTAAGCTTGTGCTGGGTACTGCCATGGGCATGTCTGTGCCCAGGATCTTTTTTGTGTAGCTCCTCCCAGGCAATGTGTGTTGGTCAGATTTCCACTGCTGTGACAAAATACCTGGGACAATCAGCTTACGAAGGGGAAAGGCTTTATTTTGGCGTACAGTCCTGGAGGTTCCAGTCTGTGCTCAGTTGGACCCACTGTTTTGGCCCTGTGGCAAGGCAGCACATCCCGGTGGCAGTGTGTGCTGGAGCAGAGCTGCTCTCCTCGTGGTAACTGGAAGTGAGAGAGAGAGAGAGAGAGAGAGGAAGTGACCGGGGTCCCATAATCCCTCCAAGGGCACACCCCCCATGACCCCAAACCTCCCACTAGGCCCAGCCTCTTAAAGGTTCTGCCATATCCCAAGAACACCAAGCTGGGGACCATGCACTGGACACATGGGCCATTAGGGGTTTTTTGAAGATCAAAACTAAGCCAGGCATACTGGTGAATGCCTGTAATCCCAGTTGCTTGGGAGGCTGAGGAAGGAGGATCACATCTGAGGCCATCCTCAGAAACTTAGTGAGATCTAAGACACCCTTCAGTTCAACTCCCAGGATGAAAGGAAGGAAGGGAGGAAGGAGGGAGGGAGAAAGGATTGAAACTATTGCACTATGTATGACAGCCACAAATTTTTTTTCCCATTTTTTAATTCTAACTTGTTATATATAACAGCAGAATGCATTATAAATCATATTACACACATAGAGCACAATTGTTCATATCTCTGGTTGTACACAAAGTAGAGTCACATCACTCGTGACTTCATACGTGTACTTAGGGTAATGATGTCTGTCTCATTTCACTGTCTTTCCTACCCGCATGATCCTTCTCTTCCCCGCCCTCCCCTCTTCCCCTTTGCCCTATCTAAAGTTCGTCTAATCCTCCCATGCCCCCCATCCCCACTATGAATCAGCATCCTTAAATCAGAGAAGACATTTGGCATTTGGTTTTGGGGGATTGGCTAACTTCACTTAGCATTATATTCTCCAACTCCATCCATTTACCTTTAATCTCTTTTAAAGCTTCATTTACCTTTAATCTCTTTTAAAGCTGAATAATATTCCATTGTGTAAATATACCACAGTTTCTTTATCCATTCATCTACTGAAGGGCTTCTAGGTTGGTTCCACAGTTTAGCTATTGTGAATTGGGCTGCTATAAACATTGATGGGGCTGTGTGCCTGTAGTATGCTGTTTTTAAGTCCTTTGGGTATAGATCAAGGAGAGGGATAGCTGGGTCAAATGGTGGCTCCATTCCCAGTTTTCCAGGGATTCTCCATACTGCTTTCCATATTGGACAGCCACAAATTTTAAAGCAGAAGAAATCTCGGAAGAGTGGGCTCTAGAGGCAGCCAAATGAGGAGCCCGGGGAGGGCTGCTTTCTGCCCTCTATCCTGCATGGTACCTGTGCCCAGCCCTGGGCCACTGGAGAGATGCCCCCTACCTTAGTGTGAAGGTGTTTTGGTTTCCAGGGATGGCAGTACTTTACTGGCTTAATTTTTTAAAAAAATAAAGGAGCTAAATGGTGCTCCTAGCTGGAAGGTCCATAAACGGAGCTTCCGTGGGGAGACAGGCCCGAGAGTCCCAGCACCTTTAGTCTTCTCTCTCTGTTTCTCCTTTTCTTACGGACTCACGTCTCCACAGTGCAGGGACGCAGCTGGGGTGTCCTCTGGGCTCACTGGTGTTGGTCTGTACCCCGAGAGGAAGAGCCCTCCCATCATGTGTGGCGGGGAGCCTCCTGGAAGAGCTTTGTTGTGTGGGGTAGATCACCTCCTCATCCCTGGACTGCTGTCGCAGTGGTGAGTGGGCCCTGATGTGGGTCCTGCCCACAGCAGGTTCCCACTGACAGAGGAGCAGTAATGGGCAGGTGAGGCCACCGGAAATACATGGCTCCCTTTGAGAACTGGATGGAAGCTATGGACTCTCTGCTCAGAAAAACGCTCAGAGATGCTAATGTCTGCATGCAGTTTGCACAGCGTATTCCATCCCAAGTTGCAGATCCTGCCTCGTAGAGCAGGGAGTTGGGTACAACCAGCCCAGGGTTCCCTAAGGGACACAGGCACAGCTCTGGTCCTCAGCCTTCCCCTGCCTTTGCTCTTTCAGGCTAACGAGATGCTGTTCTGCGGGCGGAAGCTCACGGCCCAGGAGGCCTGCAGCAGAGGCCTGGTGTCCCAAGTCTTCTGGCCCACCACGTTCAGCCAGGAGGTCATGCTGCGGGTCAAGGAGATGGCGTCCTGCAGTGCTGTGGTGAGTTCCTGCACCTCCGGGGGCTTGCCCTGGCAGTGGACCCCTGTTAAGAGAGGACAGCCAGGCTTAGAGGGGCTGATTGGCATGGCAGAGTCATGCCGGGAGTAAGGGAAAGGCCCTTGCCTCTGCTCAATGCCACACGCTTAATTCACAAAGAAGGGTCACACTTGGGGGTGGAGTGCTACTCCAGGGACAGTCCTGAGCCCCACAAAAGCACAACGCAGAAGCCCGGCCAGTAGAGGACTGGGAATGGACCCGGCCCAGGGTCGACTGGCCTGGGCTGCACTGTCCCTGGACTTCATTTCTTCTGCCCACCGAGTACTTGCCACGTATAAACGCTGCTGCTCGCCTCTGAAGACACACTGAAAAACAGATAAACAACACCTCCGCAGAGGTGCCGGCTTCAATTGTGGATGTTTCTCACGACGGCGTTCTGAGCACGGGAGAGACAGGTGGGAAGGGAAGGCCGGGGTGCTGATGCCTGGGGCCAGTTCTGGAGCAGAGATGTGGGCGCTGGGAGAGGAGACCCCAGGTTCTCAGCTTCAGAAGTGGGCGTTGGCCGGGTTTGTGGGGCCGTACCCCACCTCCCTTCCTTTCTCCCTCCACCTGTTCCCCACCCAGCTGTCAGGATTTTCTGTGGGCCTCTTCAGCCCTTGATTTGTCACCTACTGTGTATCCACCTGATGATGGTGGTGGGGACGCTCTCCTCGCTGGTGAGGGGGCCTTGCAAATCTCTCTGGATTTGCCTTGAACCTTCCTGATGTCTGCATGGCCCACTCGTCCCACTTTGCCTGAGATATTTTCTGGTCAGCACTGAACCCCATAGTCCTGGGCTAACAGATGGGATCATCCCGGAGCCGGTTCCCAGAGGCAGGTGGAAAGGCTAAGCAGAGGAAACTCGGGGCAGAGGCTCCAGCCTCAGCGAGGCCAAGAGGGGGCAGGAGGCCTGTGCTGCAGTCAGGAGTGGGGTCTGTGCCCTGGGGACAGTAGGGGTCACTCAGGTGAAGAGCTATTGAAAGGACACCAAGGAGACATGCTTAGCAGAGGCCTGTGACAAGAAGTACTGCAAGGAAATCAGTGTCACCGACACTCTTGTGTCCAAGAGCTTTGGGGGATTCCCAGGAGGAAAGCTTCCCATAGCAGGAAGCTGTGTCCCTGGGAGGTGGTGCTCCTGGGAAGGATGGAGGCCGGTGCCTTCCGGCACCTTCCCACTACCTGTGCCCCTTGCCGTGCTGGGGAGTGAGGTCCAGCCATTGGCACCTGGGCATTCTCATCTTGCTTGTTTTTCTGTTGGGAAGCATTTTGGGACGGTGTGAAGCTAAGCCTTGACCTTGGTGGGCATTGGTGGAGGCCAGCAGAAGGATGCTGGAAGGCCTCACTTCTGACCACACCTCTGGTGGTAGGAGGCAGCAGCACTGCTCTGGGGGTGGCCACACCCCCCACTTCCTGCTGTGCCATCGCTGGGCAGCAGGGCCCCTGGGCCGTGCCACCTCCCCCAGGTCCTTCTGTAGTGGCGGGTAAAGAAGGACCTACACGCAGCTGAGGAGCCAGGGCAGGAGCCCAGGGAAGTGCTTCTCACAGAGCCGCTGTTCGCGGGGTCCTGTTGACACCGTGGCTACTGTGACCGCCACAGTTACTGCTGCTCATTTCTACTGTTAGTGCTCAGGTTCCTCAGCATCAGCGTGGCTTCTGTGAGTCAGTCCTGTAGGATCACTGCTGTCACCACGGTGTTTATTGCCCATTACTACGATCATTGTCACCATCACTATGATTCTTATTCCTCCTCTACGATTACTGGCACTGTGTTGCCGAAGTCACTCTGTAGGACCGTTGCTGTGACCTCTGCCGCGTTCTTCGTCACTGCGATCAGCACTGGTAGCTGGAGTCATTGTAATTCACGGCGACTGTTACCACTGATGGCTTCAGTTACTATGATTAATTGCTGTAGTATTAATGTAAGTGAGTGATGATGATGAGTGTGATGGCTACGGCTATCATTGGTCCTCACTACAGTGATGACTGCCGGTATTGCTGCTGCTCTTCCTACTAAGCCTCCTGAGGACACAGCTATTGGGTGGCAGGTCTGGCTGCCTGGACGGCCGTTTGTTCATTTCATGACACTGTTCTGTGTTCCTAGCGACTTTGAGTGAGGTGTCGCTGTTCCTCACAGATCGCGAGAATCAATCCATTCCATGGCGAGGGAAGGGCAAAGCAGTGTTTTACAGACTTTTTTGGTGACATCCATAGAAAATGACGCTGCATTTGTGTCACCCCTGAGTAAAAGACGGGGCTCTTGTGGCCTGGGGTGCCGTGGGCCCCCAGTTGTCCCAGGGGCAGAGAGATCGACCTCTTGAGCACCCGGCATCCCTCTGTGCTGGGACACGGAGCTGGGAGGCCCCCTGAAGGAGGCTGGGTGCATGGGTGCCCCCCCCATGTGCGCAGGTGGAGTGTGGGCCCCAGGGCTGACCGCTTGCCTCTCCCCAGGTGCTGGAGGAGTCCAAGTGTCTGGTGCGGAGCTTCCTGAGGTCGGTGCTGGAGGACGTGAACGAGAAGGAGTGCCTCATGCTCAAGCAGCTCTGGAGCTCCTCCAAAGGCCTGGACTCCCTGTTCAGCTACCTGCAGGACAGGATCTACGAGGTCTGAGGGCTCCAGCTCACTTGTGCCCATGCTCAGGGCACCTGACTTCCAGCTCAGCCCGGTGTTCCGGCCACGGAGCCCAGCGTTGCCCTGGCCAAGGAGGCTGTTGAGCTGTCTCTGTCCCTAGGGTCGTGTCCATTTCCTTGTGTCCTCTGGTCGTCCTCATTGGCTTGATTCTGTGTAACAGTGGGAAGGGCAGCGTCCTGGGCCTCCCACACCCCTCCCAGCTGGTACAGAGGTCTCCAGGGCTGCGTCTTCCCAGGGCTCCGCCAGGTGCCGCTGGCCTTTCCCCACTTGCTGACATGCACCACCGTGGTCCAGGAACGGGATGCCACTCTCCCCATCCTTCTGACTCAGGCTGTGTCTGCACAGTGCCTCTGATTTGGAGATGGGGCCCTCACGGCTCTCTCTGGCTAAGTGTAGATCTTGAGCCAGGGGACGATCAATCTTAGGGAATTCACAGACCAATGAGCAAGTGCTTGTGTAGACCTGGCTTCAGTCTCCTCTCCAGTGCGAATCTGTGTGACTCTTAGGGCTTGGTCTTAAAACCCAACCAAGTGATTTACAAACCCAGATATTGTACATTTAGAAATGTTTTGTTAAATATATATTTTTAAAACAATGTAAGTGGAAATTCTGATAATTTATGTGTATTATATGTAAAGCTAGTTTTGCAAAAAAAAAAAAAAAACACATGAACTACTAGGAAAATGTTTTTTTTCCTTTAATTGGACTTATTTTATTTATTTATTTCTGTTTATATATTATGATGTCTGTTGTTCACACAGATCTTATTTTCATACTGCCCTGGACCAAATACCAGTCGAGGTTCATGCCGTTTGGTGCATTCTAGCAATGAACCGCGAGAAATACAACTCAGAGGGAGGACAGCAGGAGGGCTCTGGATGCGGAGGCGGCTCTGCGCGGGCCCTCTGTGCTTAGCGGGATCACGTGACGCTGGCTCTTCAGCCTTGTCCTTAGGAGGGATCCCCATGGAGTTTTCTCTTCACTCACTGTCTGTACACAGATAAAGGGTCTTCTCTGCCCGAAAAGTCCCCAAACACACCCAACCCTGGTTGTGTGACATCAGGAAGGGGTCAGGCGTAGGCCCACCTGCGGGTGGCACCCTGCCTGGAGTGTTTTTCCTCTGGCAAAGGCCTGACCTGTGTTGTAGAGACTTCCGGGTGTGCGTGTGCAGGGGTCCTGGCGTGGGCCTGAGCGGGGCAGGGAGAGGTCCCCGTCCGCTGCGCTCTCTGCCGAGTCTTAGTTAGTTGTCTTGCCTCTGCAGCCGGATGCTCTGTCTTTGTTCTGGTTGTCGACTCATGGGAGGCAGCCATCACAGGAGGAGGCCTCCCTGTCCCCATGACCCGGCTGCAGGGCTCCCAACAGCTGTATTTGGACCATCACACTGAAGACCCTGCATCTGCTGCAGGGAGTGGGGTGGGCTTTGTGTTTGGGTTTAAAGAGGCGGGTGTGAACATCAAGGCTGGAGAGGAGGCCTACACGAGCCTGCGTGGCCCCGGGGGAGGCACCTGCTTTTCCCCAGTGCCCGTTTCTTCTCCCGTGGCCGGTCTCCTGTCGGCCTTCCCAAAGCCTTGGACCGACCTTGTTCCCGTGTGTTGTGGCAGAGAATCTCACCGCGGCTGCATCCTGTGTAGAAAGGGCCTGGCGTTGTTTAGCTTCTGGTGAGGGTTTGGTGGCACTCAGCCACTACAGAAGCAGTGCCAGGTTCTCGCTGGAATTGGGAGGTGGTAGAGGTTCCTCCATGTAGATGTCTGTCTTTGTTTCCTGCTGAAAGAACCAGAAATGTTTGAACTTTGCACATATCATCAACTCCAGACCTCTGAAGGCTCCGTAACAAGGGGCAGGCCTGTGAAACCCTCCCGCAGTGGAGTCCACGGCTGTTACCCTGCAGGTCCTGGGCGTGGCGGGGTGACTTAAAGGCAGGCTGTGTCTTGGCTGTTTGCATCAAGTCAGTTCAATAAGAGAGTTCCACCAATTGTTCAAAGTTATCGCCGTCTGTTGCGCACTGAACCACTGGAATTTTCTCTTTCTGGATCATTGTTTTTGCCACCCTGCAGATGAAATCCAGGTAGCTTGTAGAAATTGATCTGGGATGAAGAACACCAGGCCCGTGGTTACCTCAAGGTTTGTCCTAACAGCTGTCTCGAGATGGGCTCAGACTTTCAGTTTTTATCTCATACCCCAGAGGCCTCTCTCTTCTGCTTCCCCGACCCCCGTCCCCACTCCCCCATACCTATCCTTTCCTAGAGCCTGGATAGGTCTTTGAAGAATTGTCATTGGTCTTGGAAGCCCCATCCCAGAATGCCTTTGGGTTTGGAAGAACAGCTATAAGTGGGAAGTTGGGGTCCCTGTCCTTAGTCGGGGATCATTCTGACAATCTACTTCTCCCACTGCCCTAGCCCGGGGATGATGGACTCGGGGCATCCTTCATGGGGCAGCGGCACTAACAGCCCTGCTCCCAGAGGACTTGTGCAGAACTTCTGTAACGGTCAGACCTCTTCCTCATAAGGAAGCCACAGCCCAGTGCCATGTCACGCTTACCTGTCCTCTCCCACTCAGAAATGTTGTCAGTGGGGAAAAGCCATCACCATTTCTTGCTCAGAATGAAATCGGGTAACTTTGAGAAGGAACAAGAGAATCGAATTAAAATAGTATTCTTGTTTGGTATAGATTAAACTAGAACATGTTCTCATGAAGCATGAAAATACATTTTCCCCATATGAAGTTTCATGAGGTCAGGAAAACTAGTAGCCACAGCGGACTTGGAACAACGCGGCCGTATCCCTGCACAGCCACATCTAAAAATAGCCTTGACCGAGTGCTGAATCGCATTTCCCATTATTAATTGTTGGATTTTAAAAAACTAAACCCTTTTACGTTTCCTTAAGAAAACTTTTAAAAAGTTTGTAAGCTTTTTAAATTTGGAATTGAGTCACATTAACACAATTTTCCAAACTAGTTTCTGTGGGATTTTTTTTTTCTAACAAAGAGAAACAAATAAAAACAACTGCAAATCTTCCAAAGTGAATATTTAAAATGCAGAATTGCTTTTGTCCTGGGTTCAGACACTTGGATCTATTGTATATATTAGTCTAGACCCTCTCACTAATATACACAGTATTTAAGACTCTAAATGAGATTTCTTAAGTATTTTATTTTATTCTCTGTAAATGGTTTTATAAAATCTTTAAAAATCGACACTTTGCCTTTGTAGATACATCTTTGGGGGTTGTCTTGCATGTATATTTTTGTTGTAGATAAGTGTTGCTTAGTTCTTTCTGCAAATTTTGGTTGAAATGCTTACAGACTTTAATACAGTATATATTTTGAGAATATAAACTTTTATATTTCTGTGGTAAGTTAGGATATGCGTTTTAGGCAATCTTTTCCATTTTTATCACTTGTTCTTTCAAAAAAAAATAGCATACTGGTTTGGTGCCAATGGGTTGTTTTGTTTTTCTTTTTCTTTCTTTTTTTGATCTCTTTTTGTTTCCTATGATGCTCTTACACTGTTGAAAGAGCAGGTTAATTTTCTTTTCCTAGAAGTCATTGAGTTTGAAGCATACTTTGAAAATGTATTGAATTTGTGAATAAGCCTTACCATTAGGATCAGTAAACCTTCCAACCTTTGCAACTACGGATGTAGTTTAAGATCTCCCCATAAATTCTCACTGTGTGGCGGTTTGATGGAGTTTGTGAACAGAGCCTTAAGCTTGTTGCAAAAAAATAAATAAATAAAGGGTAATACGGGTTGTTTCCTCCTCGTCAGCCATGTTGGCGGGCTTGGCGCGTCTGTGGTTCATGGCTGATCTGAAGAGTCTGGTGCGTTGATGGCGGCAGGGACCAGGTCGACTCCTTGGTGGTTGTCTTTGGCCGTGAGATTGGACCAAGGGTGGGTTTTCTGGAGCCACTTGCATGCTATTCACATAGTTTAGACACGGTCGTGGGGAGGGAGGGCTGCTGGTTCATCATCTGTTCCAAACAAACGGCATTTCCTGCTCCGGACCCTGGCGGTGGACCCCAGGTTCCTTGCAGATGAACTGGAATCGTCCCGTCTGGCTGTGGTCAGCAACTCCTCGAGAGATGCTAACAAAAGTTTACATATGAGTCTTACTGTGTAGACAATCTGAAGTTGGTTTTAGTTCCATAATCGGCATTCCCATGTGTTCCCTGTGTCCCCTCAATGAACTCTGTGTGTCGAGCCAAAATAAAGGGAGGTCACAGGCCAAACTGGAGGCAGAGCCCAGGCCCAGGCCCTGGTTCCGGGCAGCAGTCACAGGCTCATCAGCAGCGGATCTGCTGTGTCTGGGATCTAGGAAAACCAGCTAGAATTTGGACTTTGTTTTCAAAATGATAAAATATTCCAGTTTCTTTGGTTGCCCACAGTTCACTGGCTGATGCTCTGTACCAGCACTTTAAATAGGATCCTGAGTTCAGGGCCGTGGTACAGGTAGTCACTTGGTTTGCAAAGTCACCTTTGCAGCCAGCAGAATGGAGAGTTGCTGATCGGCTTCCGATTTTGTCTGTGTGGCAGTCCAAAGCCAGTGTCTTGCATGAAACTCGCCTCTGACGTCTCTGTGTTGACCTCACCTCGTTGGCCTAACATCTGGCCTGATGCTGGAGCTCATTGACTCTGGGAAGTTCAGAGATTATTATACAGAGTTTTCCATCTAGTATTTAATTTGTCCCTGTGCCATTAGTCCCAGCTTGAAGTCATTTGCCAATGTCTGTGTTGACAGGATTGTGAAAATATTGCCTTTCATAAAACCAAGGACCAAAGATTCCATTAGTTCAACAAAGCACGAGTTTCATAGATTGTAGGCACATCTAGGCAGAGGTGTGCGGGCGTGATGGCACAGAGAAACCTCTCAGTCCCCCAACCTCACACACACAGAGGGACCAGTTGTCACTGAGAAGGCTCTGAAGGTGGAGTTTCTAGGTTGGTACTCACTAACTCAGGTGGGTGTTTCTGCTGTGTAGTCTAGGCCTTTGTATTCATCTCATACCAAGTGGGAATCTGGCCTTCCTCTGGGTTATCTGACCTGTGTAGATCCCTCCATTTGCACCTGAGCCTCCTGCTTGGGTTTTACAGGTGGATCTACGCTGGGCAGCGGGCTCCTACCATTGCCCGATTCCCATCCCTTTGTTCTGCATCCACCCATTCCAATTCCTGTTTGGGAGGGGAAGAATTTTCCTCCGTTCTCACACTAAGCAATGCTCCATTCTCATTTGTGATGAAATCATCGACCCATTGACCAGTTGAGAAATGACTGATGCTGAAGAAGTGCTGTTCTATTGGTAAGGCTTATTACCAAACTTCTGATAACGAAGCAGGCTACCAAAAACATATCCAGCCCACCCCGGGAGTGTTTGGGTTTGATCATGGATGTACACACACACACACACACACACACACACACACACACACACCAAAATCCACGGAGACCTTTGCAAATTAGACTACTCGTTTTCTTTTGCCCGATTGTCATGGGAGAGTCTTCAGCTCGTTCTGAATATGTGTACGTATGAGTACTTCATAGAGTTGTGAAGCCGGTACCGCTGACCCACCCGTTCTCACCACGTTGTAAATATTTCCCCAAGCTGGGTACAGTGCTGAGGGATGATAATCTGATTTATCC